ATAAGTATTCCAATGAAAAACATCCTATTTCTATGGAACATAGTCCGATCACTATCAGTATTGCTTTCCATTCATCCCACAAACTCATTATGAGCTTTCACCTCACAGACTACACGCCACTCTCTGCTACTCCGGTGTAAATGCCATTGCTCATACCATTTGGGGGCAGTTTCACATGCAGAGATTTATTAGGAGTGTCCATATTGTCTGTAAAGGTGGCAGTTACTTCTGGGACAAGAACAGAAATGGGCAGAGAGACAAAAGGGAGCAAAACGGGCTGGAGCACAGCAGCGGGAACGCAGAGATGCTGCGTGGTGCTAGCTGCTGGCCCCACAGCTGCACCAGGGAAGCCCAGCTGTGGGCCACAGTCCCTCCCTCCTGCACACACATGGGATAAAACCCACTGCAGTCATGAGCAAGCTTAGCAGCAAGCTTAGCATGGGAACCTTTTCCTTTCCTTTTTTTTTTTTCCCTTGTAAGCAAAATGATTAAGCTATACAAAAAGACCAAATTCCATTTATTGGTATTAATCCTTAGCTTGATTTTTTTTTTAAAATCTCTATCAATATGTACAAGATTTGATTTTAAAACACCAGTATTGCTGTAATGCAATGTATGCAAATTGACTAAATCTTGTTTAGCAATCTTAAACTAAGATATACCTCCATAGAAATTTCAACATCATACTTTCCACAAAGCCTGAATAAATAACCTTAACAACTGCATGCAATAAGACAAGCAAGCAATGTGTATTGTGCCTGTAAACACCACATCCTGAATATATGTTTTGCCATTTAATAAAAGCATTCTCTTAAGAATGTAATTATTTGCACTGTTTATGTTTCTCTCATCACAGCCTCCCATGCTGCTGAGAAAAGCTTATCCACTGGTGGGAACTGAAGGAGTAAGATCACATTATCCAGGTGGATTACAGCTAGCTACTGATTATTCAGCACTGACTTCCCTTTGAAGAGCCTTCCAATATATAAAAAAAAAAAAAAAAAAAAAAAGCTAAACCTATGACACCACTTGAAAAATCGGAGGCACCATTTTTAACCTCTGTCCTTTTGCATTAATATAGCGGTGCCTGGAAAAGCTACAGCAATAGAGAGGGAGTCATTCAGGCAGTTCCCTTCACACCAGCACCATAGCTGAAAGGGACAGAAATCATGAAGCATTAGGATCAGTGTAAGCCAATGAGGACATTAAGGAAGAATAAAACACACAGAACTTAAATGAAATCTGTTAAGTCACAGAAAAAGCACACATTTCTGAGCAGACAGAGACTTATTTTCTGGAGGTGTTCCAGATTTTCAGTCTCCATCTGGCAGTAGTTAGTGCTGTGATAAGGCAAGAAGAAGTTTCCAGCTACAACACAAGAGCGCATTTGACATGTAAGACCTACAAGTCACACAAACACAGTTAAATCAAAATCCTTAGGATCTGAACAAGGACAGACGCATTTTTAAATGCATCTAAATGGCACTCATGCCTGTATACACAAACATGCTCAATTTAAGTAACAGCAAATTAGGAGCCCATGATTGGAAAATGTGGTCCAGCTGGGCAGAACAGAAGATTTGTTCTTACTGTTTCGTGTCCTTCTAAAGCACAAGGTGGTTTAGCTTAAGCTGAGACTTGCTATTTACAGGTTTACAGTAAGCCAGTTGGGATTTTTCATTCTTCAGGCCAGCTACCACCAATGATGCTTGGTGCTCCAGCACTCAAACCCCACATCCATTGTAGGGAAGAAGCAGGCAGCACATAGGGACTCAGGCATGGCTGGGATTCCTCCAGAGCCCAAGACCTGCCTCCCACCTAACATACACCGTGGCTCAAACAAAAGCAAAGGACCTCCTTCACAAGGGTCTGAATGCTTTATTGAGCCCAGAAACCCTGCTGAGTGGGACTGTGACGGTGCAACCCCAGGATGTGGGTCTGTCACTCCCCATTTGGGAACATGGCTGGTGCGGAATGGAGGTGAAGGAGGGCAAGGAGATGCCCCCTGGGAACTGCAACCTTCGAGTCAACTGCTGCCTTAGTGAGCAACCAGCATCACAAGCCCTGAAACATGTGAACATACAGCCCCGTGCTGCAAATCAGTGCAAACAGTATCTGCTCTCTCCTGTTTGGTGAAATCATGCCAAGGCTGGCAGGGTGGAATGGCGACGGTGCAGCCAGCCCAGGCACGCAGGTGTGGATGTGCAGTGATTGGAGGAATGAGTCTGAAGCCTTCTGCTGTGAGTAAAAAATATATTTCAGGAAACACAATGGCAGTGAAGTTGCATCAGATCTGGAACTGTGGAGAAATTGGAAGTATTTTTTTCATTTATTTAATTTTCTAGATTTTGTGGGGGTTCTGCCTGAATTAGTTAAAGCAAGACATTTCTCTGCTGTTCTTAAAGCCATCACATTCAATTACAGAATGAGATTGGATCTCAGCAGAGAAGTTTTGTTTCTTTGGGATTCAGCAGCTAATGCTGAATGAAAGAAAAAGAGAAGCTTGTCTTGTGATGAAAGGACAAGAAAAAGAGCAATCACATAAGAAAACCAATGCCCAGACCTCTGAACAGCAAACCAATTGCATGTGTCAAGTTCCCATAACGTGATGTTGCCAGCTGAGGCTTATGTTAAAACAGTGCAATAAAATGAGATGTCTGAAGCCTCTGTCAGAAGAATGATGCTATCTCATTAATGGGATTACACAGAAAAATTGGAGGAATTTCAGTCAAGAGGAGTAAAACAATTAAGGATCAAAAGGGTATGACTCATGCAAGAAAGTAAAAACTGGGTACTTCGCTCTAGCCTGAAAAGCTTATGTCTCCAAACCGCGGAGCCTCAGTGGTACCAGCAACACTGCAGCATCTCCCCCACTTATGCCTGGAGTAACAGTGATGCATCAGACCCCATAGAGCGAAAACTCATGTTATAAAATATTGGCTTTGTTATGGCAACACTATTATCGCTTCACTCAGCAAGAAACTAATAATCAGAGGGGAAAGAGGAGAGAAAGGCTAATTACCTAGAAATAGCTGGAGGATGTAAGCTCCCTTAGAGAAGAATATATTTAGTCAGGGGGAAAAAAATTTAAAAGATTGTGACTAGAGAGACTGGGTAAAATTGGAGCACTTTAGTTAACAACTACAGAGGATTTCTTAGCCATAGGAACAACACAGATGTAGAATCATCTTCCCGGTCAAAGTACTGGAACTCACAATTATTGAATTGATAAACGGAGGTTGGCATGTCCCCAAAACCATCCCCGTAATGCTCTGGCATTGACAGGAGGTCAGTGGCTACTGACTGGCTACTGGGGGAAGGGGAGAAAGCGAAACTGGTACAGGGAGGAAAAGGGGAACATTGTGGCAGCAGATGTTCCCTAGTCACCACTACTATGATATATTGCATGAAAAATAAATGAATAAATAAAAAAGACTTCTAAATATAGAATGAGATTTTCCTCACTGAGTGGTTCAACATCTCTCTGCAATCTCTGCAATCCGTCTTTTCAGTTCAAGGACTATAGGTTAAATAAAAAGGCTCATTTAAATTCTGCACACATTCACAGAGGTAAACTGATTTCAGAAAGCGTTATTATGTTTGAACTCTCTCTCACTAGGGGTGAAAACCAGATACTTTGTGAAACGTTTTTATGATAGCTAATATTCTCTAAAAATTCATTAGATGTCAACATAAAGGACAAAAGACATCAGCACAGAAGAGCAGATGCTACGTGCTACCATACAAAGCATATTAGGGTTACTTGCCCTGTGTTCCACCACATCAGCATAGGGCAGCGCTGCTTCAATACCCAGCAGTGGTCTTGTTTCTCAGCTATCGTGGCAGGCAGAAAGTCAAACAAAAATAACACTTCCCCACAAGAAACTTTGCTGAGGAAGTGCCAGACCTGGAGGTGTCAGAGCACAGCCCTTTATGACACGCTCACAGCCCACGCTATGTGCATAGTATGCTACGAAAAGCAGGGGATTTCACCAGGAAGCAACTTATTTCAACCCCATTGCAGTCCCATCAGATTCTCCAACAAGGCAACTGCTCAGGAGGAGTGCCTGTGTATGCGTGCACACATACACACAGAACAGAGCGTTATGACACTTACTTGCACTTTGGACCTTACCTGGCACTTGAAGCATCAGAGAATGGCTCTTCTACATCTGATGCTTTACAGAGGCTCAAACCCAGTTCTCTCTGTTTTTGGAGACCCTTAAGGCTATGTGGGTTCTCCACATGACCAACACCTGAGGCAGGCAAAGTGGACTTGGCTGCTGAGCCCCACAAAGGGCAGCACAGGCCAAACTTTGACCTGGCTCAGGCTGCCTGTGTGTGAGGTGAGGCGAGCTCTGCCATGACGCCAGACAGCTCCAACACAAGGTACACACAGTAGATTTGTTTGCTTTTTTATATGGTTTCTTTCCACAGAAGAATGCACTCGGAGTTCTTAAGCCATTAAACTTTAAAGCAGCAGAGCTTTTTCCAAAGCTGCTTTGATGTAAGTAGGTAAATTCATGTTCTTTCTTAACCAAATGATGATCTAACTGCTCCCCAACATTTTTATTTTTTTTTTTTTATATAACCAACCTTGAGTTTTATCCTGCAATCCTATTTCAGTAGTTTTATACCTCTGATAGTACAGCTTGCTAAACACAAATACGCAGCACTTGGCTCTTTATCTCCCATCTCAGCACCAGTGCTTACAGAAAGCAACTGCTGTGTTTACAGCAAGTAACGTTTCTGGGAGGCTGTCAAGAATTTTCTATTTGTGTTGAGCCACACACCTCAACCACATTTATCACTGAAGCCCAGATTTTTTTCAGAAACCCCCTAATGACATTTTTGATTTAGAAACCTTATGGTAATAGTGGTAGTTAATGGGGTTTCCAGAACAATTACCACGTTGGTTACTTTGGGCTCTTTGGATTCCTCTTACGTATATGGGACAATTCCACAGTGGTCTCATTCCTTAAGTTTTTGCTTGCAAGTACCTTGCATCCAGTGTGAGTCCGGGTCTTCATGAGGGGCGTTGTGGTACACAGCTCAATGGCTTCTGGTTCATGGAAGATCACTGTCGGGAGAGGCTCCTTCCGAAGAGTTAAGACATTCAACTTGGTCTTTAACATGGTCTGAAAGTGCTGAACAGAGAAACAAAAGCAATTATATTGCATTCTGGTGCAGAAAAATGAGAGATAATAGTTGGACCTGTCTGCATGTTTTGCTTGCTATTCAATGCCTTGGAAGTTTCCATGGGGAGAGTGAAGAAGCTTTATAACTTAAAGTGAATGTCTCTTACTATAATTAGCATTTTTGAGACTGTTTTAAATTCGAAGGATATACACACACAAAATGAGATGATTTAGCCATTTTGAGCAAAGAAAACATTTCCAAATTTGCCAAATTAATACAAAAATCTACATATGTCCCAAAAAGGGTCTATATTCAACCTCTAATCACTCCCAGGCACATTACAAAAACTGCTCTTAGATCCAGTTCCACTGCTAATGACAGTATGGAGGAAAGAACAGGTGATCAATGACCATTCAAAAAATTACTGTTTCAACCTTTCTTGTTTTCTATCATCTGTACTTAAATGTCATCCCATTGAGGCTAGAAGAAGTTACCATTCCTGCCAAGCCGAATGCCTCATCAGTTTGCCTTTAGCCTATGAATTTTAAATCATCCTGCTTTGTAAGCAGTTGTCTCCAATGTCTCCCGTAGTCTCCAACGTAAATGCCACTACAAGTACATAACAAATGGATGTCATTAAAAACTTGCCACTTGCTACAACAAATAATAAAATTTCCCAGACTTGGAAGAGGAACTAGCCAAGTGAACATTAACACTGTTGAATTAAAAATTTCTCAGTAATTGCTTAAGTGAAGAAAGTCAATCCATGAAAAGTTTCTAAATCAATTTTGGAGAATCAGGAGAGTCAGAGATTCTTTTCAATGTTTAGATGTTTCTTTGAACTGACCTTGATTTGAGAAACTAAATATTTTTGCTTGCTAAAATGTATTTAAAGGGTAAACTATGCAGATACAAAACAAATTAATGTCATATTCCAACTAGAAATATACTACAGTTCTGTCTGAAGAAATATGCATTTGTTAAAGCTTCATAACTTGACTCTTATAAATCAGCAGCTATTATGCATATGTGCAATGTCTCCTTTTTTATTTTCTAGTCTTTAGTTTTTGTTTTTGTTTTTGTTTTTGTTTTTGTTTTTGTTTTTTTTTTATCAAAACCAAACAGTATGCTCTGACTTTTGATGGGAGATTCTTAATTTGTTTTGCAACCACTCGTTTCCTCTGCCTCCCCTTAACCTCTGTAAGGCAGAGGAACAGTACGGGGTCTGGTCTGCAGAAAAAGAGTCGCTAAGTGATTTCCCAGAACCATACATGAAGGCTCTATCAGAGCTAGAAATTTAAATTGGGTCCTTGCTTTTCAGTCCTGTGCTTTAGGTGAGGAGAGTGCTTATTAAATATTTTATTTATACACAAGGGATGAATCCAGCCATTTGGATTTTACAATGTTTTCATACAGATTTTTGTGGATTCAAGTTTTCCATTGAAAATTCACAAGAGTTTCTTGGAAATTAACCTCCTATGTAATTCATAAATACTTTATCATTAGCTAACTGAAAGCCTGTTAAAACAATATACCTCTGAAACAATTTAATCCTTACCTCATCAGTGTCTGTATCTAATAATTGTTATGATCCTAGCTCTACAGCTTTTTCAACACTCTTGTAAGCATATTCGGGGCACAAACACTAACAGCCTGTGACAATAATACTTGCTTTCCTACCTCATGCATGAAGTTACAGCCTGTTACAGTAATACTTCAGAGCCTCTGTGCAGTTTATGCAAGCGTTCAAGTTTCCATTCCAGTGAAAAAATGTACTCATACTATTTTTCATCTGGCTCATATTACGTGTTATCCCATTCACTCTCCCAAACAACACATCTCCAGAAAAAAAAAAAAAAAAAAAAAAAAAAAAAAGCACTCTGTTTAAGATGATTATACATTGAAGAATATTCTTTGACACATGTTTCTGAAGATAACAGTGCTCTTTGCCAGCCAGGATTACTGAACTCATGGAGAGAACCTATTCCATTTCACCTTTCAGTTCCGATTAGCAGCCTTTTGTTTGGAGTTTCCTAGGCTTCTCTGGCAAAGCTGTTAGCAGAGGCCATTAGCTTGCCAGCCCCGAGGAGCATAAAGCCAGCTCAGTCTGAGATCCTGGGTTTGATGGAGCACTGCTGATTACCAACCACAGCACTGGGCCTACTGGGCCTGCTGGGCCCATCAAGTAACTGCTATCTCCTACAACTGCCGTAGCTTGTACTGCTCTTATATACAGGCTCTAGATTGGCTAACTTGCTGCAAAAAATGTATTTCTGGAGGAAATATGTAGAAAGGAGACCATGCTGGAGGCTGGTTGTGAGGGCTGGGATGACCCCAGCCTGGGACCGACCCTCAGGAGCACCACAGTACTTCTCCCCCCCAGCACGCTGGAAGAGCTGCATTTGCATTGATGAGCTGTTTACAGAGGTTCTTAAATAACAAACACTGCTTCCATTAGATATTCAACAGATGAAAAACCTCCGTTTGGCTCCAGAGCATTGAGCTGGTTCTTTGGTACTGTGCCTCTCCTCTGCTAGCATCTCTATCAACTTCAGTGGGACTACCAACAACGTTGTAGAGGGCAAAATTTGACCAAAATGAGGAAAGATATGACAATAAACTACTTTTTTTTTTTTTTCATGTTTTAACAGCCACATATACAGTCTTAAACAAGGAAAAGCCTACTCTCCGCCTTACAAAGGCAATTCAATACTTGCATGAGCAGCAAGTTGGAGTGGTTGAATGCCAAAAACACTAGAGCACAATTGGCAGCAGATAGATAACTAGTTGCCAGAGAAATGCAGGACCGACTAGGGGTGGACACAGAAATATCCTTTTGCTTTGGACTCTGTGGCTCGTGCAGACAATGCTGTACTCCCTGTGTCCAGGTCATACTTTGCTTGCCATAAGAAAATCAAGACTCTGCCAGCAAGACATCACGCAGTGAGACCCCAAATAAGCAAGTTATTTAAACATGTGCCTAACTTTCACTATGTGAGCAGTCCCAGTAAAGCACACGTGGGTAGTCAATGGTTTTATTCATGTGCTTTAAGCCAAGAACAGGATAAAGTGCTTCGCTGAATCCATTTCTTAGTTTCCACTCCAAACTGGCATCTCCTCCGGAAACTGTTGGCAAATGCTGACATATAACAGTAGCCAATGTATTTTTTGAGTAAAAAGCATTAGCTCTCCACTGTTGTGAACCCAAAATATTTCTTTAAAGTGCTTTAAGTTCACAAAGTTCTTGAAAAGCATGACTTTGGCAATTCAGTAAATAAAGGTTCAGAGAACATTATAGCATTCACATTTTATGTGCCAGAACCACTAGCTTCACTTGGTAGCTCTTAAACTGAACATCAAAAGAAGAGATTCTGAACTGGCACGAATATAGCAGCTCGCAACTGCATGTCATTCATCCTTTTTCATTTTAGATGGTGCTACTGATACAGACTTTATGTTCAAAAGAAATGTGAGGAGCAACGCAGCAATAAGAAATTGGCAGCAAGTTTTGAAATTCTTTGAGCAAACAAAATAGCTGAATTGCCAAAGAAATGATCAGAGCTGTAATTAGCATTGTATTTTTTCCTACTTGCTGAACATAAAACCATTCAGTGTGAAATTTAAGTAAAGACCCTACTAATATTGAAAATTTATCTTAATATAAAACCATGGTTTTACTTATTCAGCTATTCAAGTTCCATCGTTTTGTTTTGCTTAGTTACCAACACCAATGGCATCATCTCCCCCTATAGAAGAAAATGGGACAGTGTACAACTGGTAGCCCAAACTCTTAGCAGGCCATGATTGTCACTACAAAGGTACGAAAGATTCTTTCCTCCTTGGTAAGTGCTCTGTATTGCAGTGAAAATTTCATTATCACTAACTCACCTAGCTACATGTTAATTTAACATAAGAATCAAGTACTTCTGAATAGTTTCAATATATTTTATCAACTCAACATTCACATTTTAGCTCTAGAATAACTATTTTACAACATTCAATTTGCAAATTTTAGGTTACTATGCATTTAGTCCAAGTTTAATTTCTGTTGCTGTTAAAAAAATTAGCAGCGTTTTGGTTTAATTTGTCAGCAAAAATATGGCCTTTTCCACAACCCAGGCCAAATGGCTTGGAGAAAACTCTGATACTATACAATTAAATGTGTCTTTGAGGAGAAAAGTAGGCACTGACAGTCTGTAATAATAATGCTTAACGCCTCTGCACAGCTCTTCATTTTTAGGTCATAACTAAACAGACGCTGTTGTTTACAATATTGAGTACTCACTAGCCAAGACTGGGCTAGGAGATCCTTTTATTTTCTATCAGGCGACGGAAATAAACTCAAATTCAATAAATACAACTAAGAAAGTATTATATGTTGCATGTGCATATATACATATATATATATATATTTTGTGACTCATATATATGTATATATGTATATATATGTGAGTCACAAAAATGGGACCATAACTCATTGTAATCTGTAATGCAGCAAAAATGGACTCAGTTTACAGGCTATATGGGTTGTGACACTGTGAGTGTAACAAAGTTTTCAGGCCCATAGCCCTCAGCCCCCATTATTTCCTAACATCAGTGTTATAACCAACATTCAGCTGCATCAGCTCGTCTGGAAATGTGATACTTCATATCTTCTGCCAAATTTTGCCAAAGACACACGTTGAATGAACAGTATTGCAAACCCCAAACTGGTAGGGTGTTAACACGTTAAAAGCCTCTGAAATAGGGCTATGCCAAAATGAGAAGCAAAACTCAACCTTCTACAGCACCTACAAGAAAACTGCCAGATGAAATCCACATTAGAGCAATAGCAAAAGATCAGTCACTGGGAAGAGTCAAAAATAACCTCTATGATGTACTACCGTGTGCAAGCACTTCCTCTATCATGGAAATTAATTTAGTTCTGGCTTGAAACCCAAACTGTTCAACAGCATCTCACAGCAACAGCAGCCTAGGAGAACAAGGGCAAAACCAAATGCAATGAACT